CATTGAATGAAAAGAGTGCAGAAAGAAGAAAAATATTATATCTGCCCTTTATTTAAAAAAATATATAAAATAACTAAACAATCACTTTAATATCCACTTTAAAGCTAGGAATAAAAAAAACATATTTTGTTTTAGAATTTAATTCCAACTTTGAAACTTATCCAACATTAATACAACTTACCTCAAGTTGCCTTTTGGACATACATGCATATATTTGTACAAACTGTACTTGAGAGGAGATTATTAAAGCCTCATATATAGTCAGTGATGATGATATCGGAACTGGATCGGTATTTGCTGATATCCAGATTTAGGTATCGGGATCTGATCAGAAGTAAAAATAAATAAATAAAAGTGTATCGGTGCATCCGTACCAAAGACACCATCTTAGCACCAACATAACTGGTTTGTTCCACTTTGGAGTAAGCTGTTTAGGGTAAGAGTCAGTTTTGTGTGTTTTCTTGACTGATGAAGCCTTCTGGATGGAAGGTGAAACGTTTCAGCAAAAAAAGAAACTGTCCAGATGACCCGACTGAAAATTGTTGGATTGTATACCTGGATTATTGAGCATGGACTTTTTTGAACTTGCATTATAGTTTTGGCAAAAGTGTTTATCGTCATACATTCTTCCTGACACAACCCTCACCTCCTACCTGGGCCTGGGACCAGCACAAGAGAGAAACTGGCTTGTGCTCCGTAGTGGCTGGTTTGAGGAAACTATTTTTTCTAGTTTTTATATTGCTTAAAATGATAGTTTCCTCAAATGATTGTAGTGTCTGGTGGGGTGATCAAAGATTAATCTGTGATGGTCAGGACCAGTATTGGCTGCCCTCTGGCTCTGGTTGCACCTGGTGGTGAATAAAATTGCTCCCTCCGCAGGATGTGTCATTCTGCTCTGCCTGCTAAAAATAGAAAGAAAGAAGTACCTTTAGTGTAACTCTATTAACTTTAACATCTTACACCAAAACATTAAGGTTTACTTAACGTTCCCTGTTCAGTTCCTGTCCTGGAAAAAAAAATTAAACTACAAACCTTCATTATTTAAATCCTTCAGCAGTGGGGGACATGGGCGTACAGTTTGATTTTTACAATTGATAAGATTGTGTGTTTGCAGGGCTCACCCACCTGATCACCATGGACCTCCATCAGAAGGAGATTCAAGGCTTCTTCAACATTCCCGTGGATAATCTGAGAGCTTCTCCCTTCCTGCTTCAGTACATACAGGAGGAGGTAAAAAGATGTTGAGCTCAGAATCTGAAACCTTCCTGGATCCAGATTTAAAGTGTGGGGAAAGAAAACTGATTGAAGTGACTGAGGTGGATTTAAAAAGCAGCAGCATCCAACGCTTGCTCAGGGGCTACTGTCATGATTCCTGTCTCATTTTTAGTCATTAGGGAAGATTAGTCCATTTTAATCCAGTGATATTCACACTTACACCGTCGTGCTGTTTGTGTGTGTGTTTATTTGTATGTTAACAAAATATAAATCACTGAACGACTTGATGAACCTCGTCAAATAATTACTGGAAGTACATCAACAACTGAGGATCTTTTGGAGAGAGCCAGAATAAAAATGGCTGCCACAGCTAAAGAATTGTTTTAATCACAAAAATTGATGTAACTAATTTTTACAGATATTGACCTAGTATTTGGTGCGTTGGTAGCTAAGACTGATGCCCAGCCCATATTCTGAATAACTGATCACATGATCATGTAACACTTCGGGGGCGAGAAGCATCCCTGCAAGGAACGCCACCTTCACACTAACAGAAGAAGTGCAGGCGATGATGAACTGAAGCAAGAACTTCTTGAAAAACTGCCCATTTTCCGCCTCGTTACATGTCGAGGTTTGAAGCAGAGAGCTGGCACAGTGTGCAGCACATGCTGGGAGTGACTCTCTGCTACTACTACAGCAAACTGGTGACAGTACAGATGTTTTATTGTCTGTTGATGAGCTGTGGCAGCCATCTTGAAGAGGTAAATCCATTTTTTTAAATCTTGAGAGTTTAATTAAAATGTGCTCACAGGCAATAACATGATTGTCCATCCTTACACAGTGTACATACAGGCACGCCTTTAATTTTTAAACAAACAAAACCTTAAAAACAAAATGTTTCTTCCTGTACTGGCTCTAAAATTTAAACTTTTTTTCCAACCTTCCAGATCCCAGACTACAGAAACGCCGTCATTGTTGCCAAATCTCCAGCTTCAGCTAAGAGGTGGGTCCTTTTCTCTCCCGTTTTATTAGCTGCGCTGAGCTCAAACAGTTACTCATCCTGTCTTACATACCTGCAAACTTGACGCTGTTTGGCAAAATTTGCTGATTTCAAACTACAGTGTCATTTACGTGAATCATCTAGATCTGAAGATATTATTTGGGGGGAGTGGGGTGGCATCACTTCACTTTAAGAAACAGAGTTCCTCCTCGGTCACTTGGCTTAGCAGCACGCTCATCTCTTGGTGGGGTTTTGTCGACGGGGTGGGGGGAGGAGGGGGAGACACCTCCATGTTGCATGCTAGCTTACAGCTGTGGTAGTGATGTCAGCTGTTGAGCAGCGGGG